AATCATAAAGAGATCATGCCAGGTTAGATCATAGCTGCGAGTAATATATTTAAACTCTTGTATGAAGTGAGTAGGATTAGTGGAAAAAGAGCCTATTCTGCGCTCTAGCTGAGACAGATCTCCAAGAGGGAAAGGCACATGGACTTTGACAACCCCGTCTACGCCTGCCATCAACCTGAGGGGAAAGATGCCATTGGAAGGGGGCTGAGACTGGGTGTGGGAACGGGTATGGCTTGACACGGGAGAGGGATTGGGAGGAGGCAGAAGAGAAGGAGAAGGGGAGTCCTGGGAGAAAGTTGAAGTGGGGGAGATGGGAGGGGTGTCCTGTCCACGAGAGGATATAGGGGCAGGGGTATCTGAGGCAGGGTCTGGAACTGAAGTAGAAGCAGATACAGGAGGGGTAAATGGGGTATTTAAGGTAGAAGTCAGACTTGGGGAGACTAGGGAGTATTTGGTAAGGAGGTGTTTAAGATTTTGGATTTCCTTGAATAAAGGGGAATTAAGAGTGAGTGTCAGACTCAGAATGCTGAGAAAGGGAGGGGGAAGATTGCGGAGAGGGAGTTTGAGGCGGAGAAGGGAGGGGAGTTGGGCTCGCCCCTGGACTGGAAGGCAAGGGAGGGTATAGTGATGGGAGGGCAGGGGGAGGACTTGGTTGTGCCTCCGGCTCAGGAGGTCTTGGGGCTGGGTTTTAATAGGGGGCAGGTTATCAGCTATGAAAGGATCAAAAGCAGAGTCAGAGGGGTAGGGAGGAGGGAGAGGGGCAGAGACCCCTGGAGGTTCAGGATCTGGTAAGACTGTCTTAGCCAGGAGGACCTGGTGGGAAGAACATTTGACAAAGAGGGAGGGATTAGCACGGAGGTCAAGAAAGGCGTGGATGTAGGGTAGTTCAGACCGCTTGCCATTATGCTGGCAGTTTCCCAAATCTTTTAAAATATTGAGGTTTAAGGTTCCAGTGTTTGGCCAAACATAGTTATTATCTAGTTTGTACTGAGGCCAGGAAGTGGTGCACAAGAATTTTAGGCGTTTTGATCTGATTGTGTCAGATAGTCCTAGCTTCTTTAAGGATTTAAGAAGGCAAGCCAAAGGCACGAGACCTTGAGATTTTGAGTGTTTGGTTCCCATAGCAATGGATTATGTGGAAAGCAAAGAGGAGTTAAAGACCTCAGCTGGCGGGTAGGGGAACAAAGAAGATCTTTTGCCCTGAGGGGACAGAGGCGGAGTCAGGAGTCAGAGCGGGAAGGAAGAGCGTACAGGGAAGAGAGAGAGAGAGAGAGAGAGAAAGAGAGAGAGAGAGAGAGAGAGAGAGAGAGAGAGAGAGAGAGAGAAAGAGGGAGAAAAGAGAGAGAGAGAGAGAGAGAAAGAGGGAGAAAGAGGGAGAGTGAGAGAGAAAGCAGGAAGAGAAAGGTTTGGCTTAGGTCACGTAAAAACGAGAACAAGAAGAATCAGGCAACAAAAGAAAAGCATCCTTTTTTTGTTGCGGATTTGAGTTAAATTCCCGAACCCCAGGGCAGCGTCCTGCAATCGCTGGGGAGGGGAAATATGAGCATATGTTGTGCGTGTCCCCCCCAGTGACCCAGCATCCTGTAATCAAAGGCAGGGCAGAACCTCCCACACACCAGTGTGATTTCAAGTGAGTAAAATGAGTTAAGAGAAGTTCTGCAACATGGTGCGCGACCAGCCAGGAGGAGTCAAAGTACAAGGAAATGAGGTAGTGGGCCAGGAGGCCGAGATGGACCGGGAATGGAGAAGAATGGAGAGGCCTAGATGAAGCTCAGAGTAGCCAGTAAATGGAGGGAGAGGGGAGAGAGAGAGAGAGAGGGAGAGAGAGGGAGAGAGAGGGAGAGGGAGAGGGAGGGAGGGAGAGAGGGAGAGAGGGAGAGAGAGAGAGAGAGAGAG